AGGCTCTCAATGCCCCCCCCTCCTACAGAACACAATAGCCACTGCAGGAGGCATTTGAGCAATTTCCTTTCCTTTTATATATTATCATCTATAGGCTGGCTTTACTTCTGCGCACTTTGCTATTTTTGTCTACTTCAAATAAAAACAAAAACAGCAGCACCCAATGCAAAGGGAAATTCATCTTGTTGGGGTCCAGGGTCCAAATGCATTGTCAAAAATGCTATTTTTAAATAAAGCCAATAATGAGATATTTTATTCTAACCTGTGAAGTGTGGGCAGGAGCGATGGATATGGGCAGGCCAGGCCTAATGGTAAGGTCACGCAGCGACTGAAGACAGCCGCTACTCACAGACCAGAGTCCCTCAGGGCGCAGAGTCTAAGCCCCAGGCTGCCCCTTCACCTGAAAGCATAAAGGCTCCCACCATGCTTTGCAGGAATTAAGATGGATCCTCTGATGGTGGGGATGGACTTGACGTAGCCTGAGACCAGGTCGCGGCCCCCCGAGTAACTCCAGCTGCGGTAACGACTGCCGCCAATGGCATACAGCTGGTGGGAGCCAGATGGAAAAACGTACAGCGTGGTCAGACAGGCCAGGTCGATAACAACGGAGCAAACAGTACAAGACGGTAGACAAGAATACTCAGGTCACGGGCCGGGTTCAGCAACGGGAGGTCAGGTAATGGGTATAAGCAGAGAATAGTCTTGTCCAAGCCGAGTCGGTTACCAGGAGAGCAACGAGAACACAGAACAAGAGCTTGCTGCAAAAAGGACCATACAGGACATGAAGCAAAGAGCAACTGCAGACAGCAGGCTTAAATGTGATCAGCCACACCCTTCTGGAGGGATGAGCACAGAGGCCTGAAAGCATAAAGGCTCCCCACCATGCTTTGCAAGAACTTAAGATGGATGCTGGCACATGGAGAAACACAAATTCTGAGGAAAGGTAGAACCTTGACATGAAACAGACATGCAGTTTGTTTACATTTTGAATAGAAATTTGGATGAAAATGTCATTATTCGAAGTTTCGGATGTATTCGAATTTCACAATAACATTAGTAATGAATTTAATTAGAGATGAGCGAATTATTCAAAAATTCGGTTCGGCTGATTTGCCGAATTCGCCGAATAAATTCGCTTCGAGCCGAATATATTCGCTGCACAATTTAACATATAAAAAGGGTGTTTCTAGGCTTCAGAGAGCTTTATATTACCTTTAATTAATATCACTGTTACCTTTAATTTAAATGCCCTTGGAGTCTGCTGGGGAAGAGAAATAATACTGTCAGTCAGTATGACATGCAGATGAGTGCCGTCGATCTTAGAATCACCGCACACTTCACTCATTTGGGCAGTCACGGGGCCAAAACCAGAGTGTGGAGCCACAGTGTGGCGGTGGAGGCAGCAGCAATGGGAGGCCATACAGCACCCTATGACAAAATGGAACCCACCAGCAGTGTGAGGAGACCTGAAAGTGGCACATGGCAGAGTGTGGCGATGGAGACAGCAGCAATGGGAGGCCGTACAGGGACCCATGACACTAACTCTGGGGACCTGGCAGCAGCATGAGGAGGCGGTACAGGGGCCCATGACAGATTACGGGGCCTGGCAGCAGCATGAGGAGTCGTACGGGGGCCCATGGCAGATTACGGGCCTGGCAGCAGCATGAGGAGGCGGTACAGGGGCCCATGGCAGAGTGGCGGAGCGTAAAGCAGCTAAAATTGAAGGCCATACAGAGGCCTATGTTAAAAAGTCCCCCCCAGCAGCAGCGTGGGGAGACGACTATCAAGAGTCCAATGGCAGAGTGGCGGAGCTGGAAGCAGCTTCAATTGAAGGCCATACACAGGCCTAGGTTAAAAAGTCCCCCCAGCAGCAGTGTGGGGAGACTATCAAGAGTCCAATGGCTGAGTGGTGATCCGGGAAGTCAGCGTTGTGATTGCAGATGCAATGCAGAGATTCTATGAGGTGATGCCGTGGGTGCGAAGAAGATCATATACCGTCGTACTTCCATCCATAAGACGGAACAACCTGTGAACCGGGAGCTTTTATTGCCCTGACCCGCTGAGCAGCTTCTGGGATACCAAGAGTTTGGCTTCTGTGGGGAATATGGTTGAAAACTGAAACTTAAAGGCATGTTGACGGAAGGCACCAGTGTCAGTGCTCCGGAGGGAATATAGCTTCAAAGCTGACACTTAAAGGTATATCGACGGTCAGAGACCACAGGAAGTGGAGCTTGCGTCTTAAATCGACTGAATGTGGCAGACGTGAAATGTCTACGGGCCGTATATGAAACAGGTTGTTCCTCTTTCTGGAATAAGTGTTGGAATGGCCACTCTTTTTGGTGTGGCGTTTTGTCTATTTAATTCCGATAACGGACTCTACTCCTCCGTGCAATCTAGTTACGAGACCTGGGCAGGTCTGGGTCCAATTTGTGGTAGAGACTGGTTTTGTTCAGCCATGCTTGAGCGAGTAATAACAGGTCTGTGCTGCCCTTTGGTGTCTGTCTTAATGCGCACAACACTGATGCACTAATCACCCAAAATATTACCGCCAGCCCGGCGTGTAAATGGATTTAACTCTTTGAACGTACAATAGTGGTTGTGAAGCAGAAAGTCAGTTTATTTAGCACAATCGGTCAATTGCAGCTTGCCGTTGGCTGGAAACTCATGTACGTTTATGTCACTGGAATGCACTAATCACCCAAAAATATTACCGCCACCCGGCGTGTATATGGATTTAACTCTTTGAACGTACAATAGTGGTTGTGAAGCAGAAAGTCAGTTTATTTTGCACAATCGGCAAACTGCAGCACCAACTGTGCACGACAGCCACCAAAAAAAAAGGGTGTATGTCACTTTAAATTTTCGATTCTTTGATAGCTGTGGCCCTAAGTAACGATTCTGTATCCCTGAGTAACGATTCTGTGTCCCTGAGTAACGATTCTGTGTCCCTGAGTAACGATTCTGTGTCCCTGAGTAACGATTCTGTGGCCCTAAAGTCTCTGTGGCCCTAACTCTGTCCCTTAATACACACAGGTCTGTCTCTCTTGAATGACCGGAGGCTAATGGAGAATTCTAAGATGGCCGCGATTTATAGCTCCACCATTACACAGTGCTGGCTGGCTGCTGATTGGCTAATGCGATCACATGTCATGAATGCATTATGGGTCAGCGCGCCTTGTCTGCGCGCCTTCCCAGAGATCCCCGCCCCATCTTCTCTGTCCATTTTCTCCGTCGCCACACATGTCGCCGCCATTTTTTGGGAAAATTCGATTCGTGCATCCGAAGTTTGCTAATCTTCGGATTCGTCGCGAATAGAATTTTTCCAAATCTTCGGATCGAATTCCACTTCGTCATGTTCGATTCGCTCATCTCTATTCCTGAACAACACATCTATGAAAGGACTTTGCCAGCAACTCAGGTAAATATTATTATTACAGGTACTTACAGTATATAGCGCCATCAATGTACACAGCGCTTTACATATATATATTGTACATTCACATCAGTCCCTAACCCTCAAGGGTGTTGTACAATCTAAGGTCCCTAACTTACATTCATACATACACATACTAGGGCCAATTTAGACAGGAGCCAATTAACCTACCAGCATGCCTTTGGAGTGTGGGAGCAAACTGGAGGAAACCCAAGCAGGCACAGGGAGAACATACAAACTCCAGGCAGGTAATGCCATGGTTGGGATTCAAACCAATGACCCTAGTATTGCCAGGTGGAAGTGCTAAACCATCTTTATTACTAGGGATGCACTGATACCAATTTTTTTTTTACTCACCGATACCAATTACCAGTCCTGGCCAGCAACTGTTTTGTTAATAATTGAGCTACCAGCAGGGGAATCCCGCTGACAGCTGGATGAGTGATCGGTTGCCAAGGATTCGGTGGCCTTGCTCCTTAACCGTTTCAATACCGTGCAATTTTACACCTTTTTTTCAGATTTCAGGCCATTTTTCAGATTTCAGCGCTCTCACACTTTGAATGACAATTGCGCGGTCATACAACACTGTACCCAAACTAAAATTTTATAATTTTCTTCACACAACTAGAGCTTTCTTTTGGTGGTATTTAATCACCGCTGGGGTTTTTATTTTTTGCTAAATTAACAAAAAAAGACCAAAAATTTTGAAAAAAAACACATTTTTCTTTGTTTCTGTTATAAAAGTTTACAAATAAATAATTGTTCTTCATAAATTTAGGCCGAGATGTATTCTGCTACATGTCTTTGGTGAAAATAACCCAAATTAGGATGTATTATTTAGTTTGTAGGAAAGTTATAGAGTTCACAAACTATGGTATAGATCTGAATATTAATCAATCCTAAAGTACTGACGGCCAATCTAATTTCTTGAGGTCCAAGAATGTCAGAATAGTACAGATATCCCCAAATGACCCCTTTTTGCAGAGTAGACAGTCCGACGTACTTCATAAGAGGCATGGCGAGTTTTTTGAAGTTGTATTTTTTTTGTCATAATTTTTCCGAAAATTAAAAAAATTAAAAAAATTATTTTCACTATTTTTTTTTTTACATACTGTCACCAGTGCAGTACAGCGTCATCATATAACTGGCATGGTGGTGATCAGGGACACTGACTGGTGACAGTATGAAAAAAAATATATATATATTTTTTTTTTTTTTTTTTTATTATATTTAATTTTTTATTAAATTTTTTTTTATTTTTTTTAAGATTTTCTTTCATATTTTACTATGACCAAAATAGTACAATGTTACCATAGTAACATTGTACTACTTTGGGGAAGTGATCAGTATTTTTTTTTTTTTTTTACACAATTTGCTTATAGCAAAGAATTACTTTGCTATAAGCAAGCATTTACCTGAATGACATCGATTCATTCAGGTTTTTTTTTTTTTTTTTTTTTTTTTTTTTTTTTTTTGTGCTTAGCTGTGATTTGGTCACAGCTAATCACATGACATGTGCATGTGATTAGCTGTGACCATTCACAGCTAGGCACTAGTATACAATGGATTGCATCATGAATGAAGCCATCCATGTATACAACTGTCATGTGACCTGCTGTGATTGGTCACAGCAGGTCACATGGTACCAGCAACGGGAGCCGGTACTCGGATCTGTCATCGGCCGTGTCCGAGGTGCACGGACAGCGACAGATCGCACTGCTGCGCCGCTCTGCACTAGCGCAAACGGCGCATGTGCGGGAGCACGCCAAATGGCGTGCACCCGGAATGGAGGAGCACATCTGAAGCCACCAAACGGCCATTGGCCGGGCGGCTAATGGTTAACCACTTTCACACCTATTCACCCCTTATGGACCAGAGCAATTTTTACATTTCTGCCATGGGCCTATTTATTCAGCGATAACTTTGTTACTAATTAAAGTGTTACTAAAGTATGATTTTTTATTTTATTAAAATAACAAACATGTTATACTCACCTGCTATGTGCAGTGGCATTACTCCGATCCTCCTTCTTCTCAGATCCCCCGCCCGCGATCTTGGCTCCTCCTCTTTTTGTGTGTCCCCCATAGCAAGCTGTTTTGCTATGAGGACATACACAGCGGGACTTAGCCCTGCCGCCCACTTCCTCTTCACTACATTTGAGTGACACCAGCAAGAACCAATGGCTCCTGCTGCTGTTCGAGTCCCTGTGTGAAGAGGAAGAGAGGGAAAATGAGATGCAGTCATGCACAGCTCTGGATATCTTCTCCCCTCTCTTCCTCTTCACACCGGGAAGGGGGAGCACAGACAAACAGAAAATGTTTTTTATCTTAATGCAAGCAATGTATCAAGGTAAAAAAGGTTTTTAGGTTTAGTATCACTTTAACCACTTGCCTACCAGACACTTATACCCCCTTCCTTACCAGGCCAATTTTCAGCTTTCAGCGCTGCCGCACTTTGAGTGACAATTGCGCGGTCATGCAACATTGTACCCATATGAAATTTTGATCATTTTTTTCTCACAAAATAGAGCTTTCTTTTGGTGGTATTTAATCACCACTGGGCACTTTACTTTTTGCGCTATAAATAAAAAATTGCCAAAAATTTGAAAAAAAAAAAGTTTCTTTGTTTCTATTATAAAATTTTTCAAACAGGTAATTTTTCTCCTTCACTGATGTGCGTTGATGAGGCAGCACTGATGGGCACTGATAGGCGGCACTGATGGGCACTGATAGGCAGCACTAAAGGGCACTGATAGGCAATACTAATGAGGTGGCACGGATAGGCGGCACTGATAGACAGCACTAATGAGGTGTCACGGATAGGTGGCACTAATATGCAGCACTGATAGGCGGCACTGATAGGTGACACTGATGATGGGTACTGATAGACGGCACTGACTGGCATCACTGCTGGGCACTGACTGGCGGCACTGACTGGCACAACCGCTGGGCACTGACTGGTGGCACTGACTGGCAGCACTGCTGGGCTGCACTGGTGGGTGGCACTGCTGGGCTGCACTGGTGGGTGGCACTGGTGGGCAGCACTGGTGGGTGGGCACAGGTGGGTGGCACTGGTGGGCACAGGTGGGTGGGCACAGGTGGATGGCACTGCTAGGCACAGGTAGGTGGCACTTTTGGGCACAAGGGTGTGACATTGCAGAGTGGCACAGGTGGGTGCACTGCTGGGCACAGGTGGGTGCACTGCTGGGCACAGGTGGGTGATCTGCTGGGCACAGGTGGGCGGAGCTAGTGGCGCACTGCAGGGCACAGGTGGGCGGAACTTGCGGGTGGCACTGCTGGGCACCGATCATCAGGGCACTGATCATCAGTGCCCTGATGATCGGTGCCGATCCCCGCTCTGACAACTGCCGGTTCTCGGGCAGTACTTTCCTCACGATCTGACAGCGTGAAGAAAGTGCAGCCGAGAACCGGCACTTGCATTTCCC